TATGAATCCAGAAGGGGCACCAATGGGAGTCATAATGCTGATTATGTATCTCAGGGACTTTTTCTAGCTTTCAGAAGCAATGCATTTTGACCATCGCTGTTATTAGGCGTTTTTCAGAGAATTTTCACCAAAACAAACAGCATTTAAATGGCCCCCTTTTGGAGGGGCTTCTGTCTCAGTCGTTTTTTGGACTTGAGATGGTGGTCTGTACTTATTTTGCAAAGCTAGAGGAAGACTCCTGTTCCACAAAACGGCTCCTTGGGATTTTTAAACGGTACACAAATCCCACCAGAGGCTCCTCAGTTAGCACTTTATCTGTGAAAAAAATGAACCAATCAGAGCGCAGATGGGTCAACATCACGTCGGCCCCGTCGCCTCTGAATCTGAGATTGTTTTCATGCCATTTATTTTGGTGTTGGTTCATCAGCACAAAGTGGAGAAAAGTGAACGTTTTCCTTTTAATTTATTCTACACGCCGCAGATATTGCGTAATGCAACTGTGATATCTGTTGACAATTATTTCAAATTGCTTTTATTTATTCTTATTGATTTATTTATTTTTTCTCTACGAACGCCAGCTGAATATTATGAGCCACACTGTGCTCTTGAGAAGTGGAAATAATGCAGCTTGTTCACATTTCTCACCTACATTAACCTGTGTGAAGCACGTCTTTATGTTTCAGCTGTCGAGGAAGGGGCACCAACTGCAAAGTATTTAATAATCTATTCCATTACTATGAAGTAACACTTTTGGTTAAGTTATTTCACATTTAGCATTTCAGCATTAGAACTTAATTTATTCATGGTTCGGGCAATAAAGAGAACGGTGTGCTTAACAAAAGAGAAGTTGAGTCTTTGTGCCTGTTAACACGAGGAGCCGCTTGAGATGATGCTGTATAACCTACCTATTGATGAAAAATAATCAGTTTCCGATGACGTTGCCTGTGATATAGAGAATTAACATTTTGTAACTATGTAGATTTGAGAGAATTCTAATCTGTTTATTGACAAATTATTTTATTAAGGAATCCACATTGTTCTTCAAATATCGAAACATTTGTAATATATTAATAGAGCTAAATCTACGCTTGAAAAATGTATTCTGGCCAGGCATAAAGTGGGGGTTTGCTTACGATGTAACTACCTAAACAAATTTACCAAGATTGTACTCGGACTGGTTGGGTGAACTCAAATGACAACCTGAATTGTGGGTATAAATTAAGTAGTTTCAAAAATGTTTTGTTGAAAAAACCTGCATATATTATGCAACGTGTGTCATATGCAAATTTGTGTTGCCCATATGGTTTCCACTTCTCAGTGAAGAAGTTTGTATGTTTCTGAATGAGTTTCGAGGAAATGAATCAATGTACATATCTGACCATCCAGACTTTAGCTGTCGGTGCAGAGATATTTGACCCGATAGGAGCATTTGCATGCAACACCCGTTCATTTGTCTCAGTACTACAAGCGTTTAGAGCAAAAAAAATGCACAATCAGAAATGTATTTGCTTCATTTTTGCCTTCATTCTTGAAGCTAATAACTTCGAGTCCAGCTTCTTATTCCCTTGTAAAGATGTATCACCTCATCGCCATGAAATGGAAATGATTGGTATTTATTAGCCATGATTGATGTATGTTTTGCTCTCTGATGCTTTTCAAAGTGTTTCTTACTTCTGCCTTTTTTGTTGTATATATTTTCTGCTTCAACGAAACTAAAGACAAAACCAAGCAGTTCTTTTATATTATATATTTTCACGCTTAACAGTTTCAAGCTGTTCATTTCATTCGAGTCATTTGACAGTACTTTGTCCCTTCAAAATAAAAGTCAAGCTTTTTCTTATATCTGCCATTGTCTTCTTTTGTGTATGCGAGTGCATGGGTGATACGTTTGTAAATAAAAAATATGACCACTGAGCCCTAATATACAAATATATATCTATTTTTTCAAAAATGATATAAAGTTGCCTTTTTTTCCAGCTAAATAAATTTGCTTTAACGCCATAAACTAAAACATTCTAAATCTCCTGATGTTTCTTACGATTAAAAAAGTTATGTTTATAGTCTCACTGTAGGTGGTGGTGCTGCTGTCTAACTAAATTAACAAGACTAGAGTTTCTGAAGAAAACATGTGATCCCTTATAAAATATGAAAAATTTAAAAACACAAACTATACAAATATACTGCTTTGTCACTGAAGAATTAAACCATTTGGTTGTTTTTGATGACATGAAGAACAACTTCACACATGATACAGTGTCTCCATTGCCACTTCTTTCTAAACTCTTTTATTTCAATAAATACATGTATCGAAGAACCAAGACAGAATTAAAGTAAATGAATAGTTCACGTGTCTATGAGTACTGAAGATAGACAAACACAGCTGACCTTTACACTGATCTGAAATCAGCCCTGCTGATAGCAAAAGTAGACTCGAACACATTCATTTGACATCAGATGTGAGCTGATCTTTAAAAGGAATAACAAAGAGTTTTAGGTGCAAATGAGTCAAATATGGGCATGACATAAAATAAAAATAATAATAATAAAAAAAGAGTTAACTGAAACCTGTGTCTACTTTAACCCTGCATGCTGTTGTGTTGCTCTTCCAAGGCACCTCAAGTATGGGAAAATTTGAAATTGGCAACAAAAAAAGTTTGTATTATTCATTACATAAATAATATTTCTCTTCAGGGCTTCTGTAACTTTTTGCACTTGTCGATTTCCATTATTCTCATGTTGAAATTCATGTTTTTTTAAAAACTTTTTCCTCTATTTCCAGATCTTTCATATTCATTTGAGGCTGTCTTGCAGCCACTACAGACTGATTTTGAGCAGCTCACACTGTAGGTCAAACTAATGGGGAGCTCCTGATTATTGTAAAAAGGTCAGACTTTCACCACGGTACAGCTTATAGTTCACAAACATGAAAAAAAGTCATTTCAAGAAGGGCTTGATTTGGCTTCTTACACCCTAATTTTTTAAAAGTCATTCTAATACTGAAGTCAGCATCTGAAATACCTCTTCAACATCATCTTTTATGAAAAACAGACAATAACAGGTCTGGAAAAAGTATGTACTCATATTGTGGTTCGGAAATTGGGATCATAATACAAAATACAAAATCATTTGGAAGTGGAGATATGGAATTAACAGTATGGTCTCTTTTTTTTTTCATTGATTAAGCTGGGTTTTGTTTGCATGCTAAGTATCTAGCTACCAAGTTAGTCCCTCATTAATCATAACGGAACCAAATATACCTATGTAAATCACACGGCTAAAAAACTTCATGACTTCTGTTCTGTGTACTGATCAAAAGTAACTGGACTACATCTAATGAACTGCCAAACTGGCTTTATATACCCATTACAGAGTACTGAAAATCTGAGGTTTGCATATTATTAGGCAGAGGTTTAATTATACATAGTTGGTGCATAAGAATAGAGCCAGTGCTTGAGGATCAGGCTGTAGCCGAAGCACATGCTCATATACATCAACAGCTCCAAAAACCAAAGCGGAGAATCCATTCTCATTATGCTATGGCTTTACCAATGCTGTCGCTAAAGCTGCTCAGACATGCTCAGGTATTTGGACGCAGCAGCAGCAGCATGAGCGGTCGACTGAATCCTGAATCTTCCTCATTTGAATCTGGATTTGAATCGCTGTGTTCACACTACACACAAATCCGATTTGGTTTTTAACCAGGAATGATATTTTTGTGATCGAACCGGTGATGAAATCTGATGTGTATCAACATGATGCTATGAGACTTTCTCATACAACAACTGTGTGTAAAGGGCTGTTCACACAAAGCATGATAACTATAAAGTTTTAATAAATGTTTTTATTTTATTGAAAATAGGGAAGTCACACCACAATGGTAATGACAAAGAGAAACATCGCTGGAATCAGTTTCAGAATGATTTTTTTTTATGCTGATGAATGACAGTCAATCAAAATGCACCTCATATAACAATGTTTTTGTCCATTGGTGTGGACACTAATATTCATAGTTATCATTCTTGGAGTGAACAAGAGGACAACAAATTAAACGTTTAGCCTTGGTTCATATCTATCATGACATCTCTTAAGCTTTAGACCAAATGAGACATTTAGGAATCCATACTGTCCGAAAGCACTGACTTTCAGGTATTTGGACGCAGCAGCAGCAGCATGAGCGGTCGACTGAATCCTGAATCTTCCAGATCCTCATTTGAATCTGGATTTGAATCGCTGTGTTCACACTACACACAAATCCGATTTGGTTTTTAACCAGGAATGATATTTTTGTGATCGAACCGGTGATGAAATCTGATGTGTATCAACATGATGCCATGAGACTTTCTCATACAACAACTGTGTGTAAAGGGCTGTTCACACAAAGCATGATAACTATAAAGTTTTAATAAATGTTTTTATTTTATTGAAAATAGGGAAGTCACACCACAATGGTAATGACAAAGAGAAACATCGCTGGAATCAGTTTCAGAATGATTTTTTTTATGCTGATGAATGACAGTCAATCAAAATGCACCTCATATAACAATGTTTTTGTCCATTGGTGTGGACACTAATATTCATAGTTATCATTCTTGGAGTGAACAAGAGGACAACAAATTAAACGTTTAGCCTTGGTTCATATCTATCATGACATCTCTTAAGCTTTAGACCAAATGAGACATTTAGGAATCCATACTGTCCGAAAGCACTGACTTTTTGGGGTTTTGAAATGATGCCATAGAAGATCCATTTTGGGTTCCCAAAAGAACCTTCTGAAGGACATTTTTAGAAACTAAAGAAGTTTTTTTTCCACTTTGAAAGAACAATGGAAAGCATCCATGGATGTTCAAGGTTCTTCATGGAATCACAGATGCCAATAAAGAACTATTTTTAGAGTGTATATAAGGATATAAGGAAGAATATTGACATGTCTGGTTTGTCTGATTTGACCATTTAGTTTAGAATCAGATTTCAAACCAGATATGGAGATATGGATGATCGGGTTTGTAAACGACAGATTTCATGTGTTTTCTGTTGTTCACACTTGCAAAAAACAAAACCGGTTTGAATACGGATTTGCCAAAAAATCCATTGAATTGATCTGACTTCTTCAAGACCTGATACTGGACCACTGAAGAAACATCTAATCCAACAGTATGCATCTAAACACATATCGCCATTTGACAGTCAATCACTGAACAGACAGAATCATTATGAAGATGAAGAACGAGAAGACAAGGCTTCAAGGTCCTTCTCCAAATGCGTTTTAGCAGTCCACTCAGTGCCAGCAGACCTCACTGCTGACGGGGCAATCTGAGGCACTGAATTTACATACAGGACCATGTGATCTGTCTGGAGGAGGCTGAATGTTCTCGTACAGCTCCTTGAATACCATCCGAATCACATTGACGCCTCCAAACTAACCAGAAGGGAGTTGTTAACACCATTTCGAAGTGCATTTCTTCACAGATTTGTTCAGAAAGACCATGTGAGATGTTCTACTGTTAGGAATACAGTTGTGAATTATGATCATACAGTAGAAAGCGACTGCCTGGAGGCTTTAATGCGGTACAGCGTTGCATAGTACTGATATCCATTTGTGCTTGTGTTACGTCTTTGATATAATAATCTTGGTACCCAAGATTGGATACAGAGAAATGTCCTCTCTGTTCCTCATTTAGCACCATGAGATGTCTTCCATACGCTTCGACAGCAAATACTACGCAATGTGTATTTGCTGTGAGTTTGTCCTGGTGACATTGATATCGGTGAGCGTAGCAAGCCCCTGAAAGCCACGCGGAGCAAAACAGGCGTACGTCGCACGCTGTCTGACACCTGACAGGAAGGCACATGGAGGCAGATGTCAGGGCTCACGTTCCTCAAATGTGCATTTCCTGCAGCGAGCGGGCAGGTGGGGTTATTGCTTTGAGGGTGTTTCCGGGGCAGCTCTGGCTGCAGTGTCCGCGGTTGAGCGGGGGCTCGGGACGGGGTGTGAAAACGGGGCAGGAGTGGGTACGAGCGTGGCTCTTGTGGCCTCCCGCGTGACAGATGAGCTCGCTGACGGTGCTCAGAGGAGGCAGACGCCGCTGCCAGCGCTCCAGACGATCCTCTTTGTATTTAATTGAATACCAGGTGAGGAAAATGAACACAAAGCCCACAAACTTGAGGCTGGCGGCCAGGCCGAAGTACACGAAGCGGAAGGAAGTAACATCGTACTCCCAGCACGAGCCGTGAATGCCGCAGTCCTGCTGCCAGAGCATGCAGGTGGTGTCAATCACCGCACCAAAGTAGATTGGTGTGGGAATGTAGGCTGCAGACATGGAAAAAGAGAAGAATTGTGGTAAAGGGAAGATTGAATTGTTAACTTCCAATTGATTTTTTCTTGTGGAGTCACTTTGAGGTTCTGTAAGCTTTACATTTTATGCTGCATTTGTTTCCGTCATCTTATCGAACTCAAATGTATAATGCTGTAGTTTACATTTAAGAACACAAGGTGGTGCTATATGAAAAGCTCTGCTGCAGTGATAAACAAGGCTGATGGATTTCATGACAAAGTTGATTTTTAAAGCCTTGCATTCTTCAAGTAAATAAAGCATTTATGACTTACTCTGACTTACCCAGAGTTCTTAGTAGCACAAACTGCATTCCTAAAGCAAACGGTCGTTCTTGCTCTTCTACTGACCTGCAAAAGAAAATTACTTTATTGTATTCTTTAATACCATCTACTACTAATTGCATGAATTGACAAATAAATAAATAAATAAATAAATAAAAATTATGATACACTACCATTTAAAAGTTTGGTATCTGATTTAAAAAAAATTTAATTAATTATTTTTAGTCAGAAAGGATGCACTTAACTGATCAAAGGTGACATTAAAGACATTTATAATGTTACAATAGTTTTATTTCAAATAAATGCTGCTTTTTAAAAAAGCTTTCTATGCATCAAATAAGCCTGAAAAAAAAGTATCACAGTTTGCAGAAAAATATTAAGCTGCTGTTTTCCACATGTTTCTTGAGCAGCAAATCAGCATATTAGAATGATTTCTGAAGGATCATGTGACGCTTAAGACTGGAGGAATGGCTGCTGAAAATTCAGCTTTGCTAGCAAAGGAATAAATAACATTTTTAAATATATTACAATATTTAATTTTTAATAATGTTTCAAAATATTCATAACTATCAAATAAATGCAGCCTTGCTGAGCATAAGAGACTTCTTTCAAAAACATTAAAAAGTCTTACTTATCCCAAACGTGCTAAAACGCCACTAATGATTTCTGTTTTAAACGAAAAACAAAAATGCACCTTTCAAGTCATCATAAAAGATCAGAAACTTTAGTCACTGTTTCCTACCTGAGAGTGACGATAATGGCGGAGGGCTGTGCGCAAGCTGTGATGAGCGTAACGATGAAGAGGAAGATGAGGAAGGGGATGAGCGTGTTGCAGGTGCGATCACACTTTCCCGACACAGCGAATCCGTTCTCGTTCAGGTAGGTCTTCACTATGACCAGTTGCAGCTGGTTGCCTTGGCCGCTGCTGGGTGGAGTGATGACCTGCCTGCTCTGCACACACGCACAGTCTGTGTAGTTTCTGATCTGCATTAAAAAATGCACATGTACATTACCACAGATATGCAAAAATTCAAAAGACATTGTTGGAATGCAATTCTGTGATTATGCTAAATATTCAGGTCAAATTACATTTATTTATTTAATAAAAACTATAATAATAATAATAAATTTATAATTAACAATAATCAGGGATCCAAAGTTTATGCATTAAATTTATGCTCCGACTGAATAGTGACAAGACATGCTGACACCAACTA